AAGCAAAGCCATCTCCATCTCCAGAGTTTGCAAGCACACATGCAAACACTGAAGGGGAACAAGCTGCTGGTCAAGAAACACTATCCTACGTCCTTCAGAATGATGGGAACAACCAGTCACAAGCATCCAGGAGACACGTGGTTATTTTCTCATCTTGGGAAAAAAAAAAAAAGAAAACAAAACAAAAAAAACCAACCTGGCATGGTTAGGAGAAAGGAGAAACAAGAGAGGGCTGAGATGGGGGAGGGACTGGAGGCAGACACACAGCAGGACACAGGAGGTCGTCAGACAGAAGTGTGGGGGGTTGCAAGTTAGTTCCTGGGACAGGTGGACCTGTCCTTGACCTCCTGCAGCCCCTCTGAGTCAATGGGGCACTACAACCACGGTGCAGAGGGTTCGATAAAAAGATTGTGGCATCAACATAGTTGACCACGAGACGTCCAAGACAAGGCAGTGACAAGAATAAGCCCTTGTCACCCAGAGGTACACGGAAGGGGGCCTGAAAGACACCGCCCAGGGAGGGAAGATGGAGGAATCACCCTCCGTGAGGACAGAAGAGGATCAAACTACCCCGTCCTGCGAAAGTGTAAGCAAAGGCTTGAGAATCCACATGGACTTCCATGAGAACATGGTCCCTGGAGGGCAGAGATGGGAGGCTTGTGCAACAGGGTTTCTCGCCACACTGTTGCTCAAGATCTGGACACTGTGGTTGTAGGTAACGTGTCCTATTTCCTCATCCAGTCTGGGTGAGCAGCCCCCGACCTGTCCGCTACAGTCTGCACTTCAAATGCCCGATGAGGGAATGGCTCTGCTCTTCTGCTCAAGCTTTCTTGCTTTAAAAGGCCTTTGTGATGGCTACTTTAGTGGATCAATTCCGAGAGGCCCCGGTGCCCAGACATGTGATCTAGCAGGAATTTTGATGTTGCTGTATAGACATTTTTTTTTCCTGATGTGATTAACATGTACTGTCAACTGACATTAGGAGAAATACGTGATTCTCCATAAGATGGGTGGGCCTCATCTAATCAGCTGACAGCTTTAAGAGGAAAAAAGTGTGGGTGCCAGGGCAGGCCAGTTGGTTGAGTGTCTGCCTTCGGCTCAGGTCACGATCCCAGGGTGCTAGGATCAAGCCCCACGTCAGACTCCCTGCCCAGTGGGGAGTCTGCTTCTTCAACTCCCTCTTCCTCCCTCCCCAACTTGTGCTCTGTTGCTCCCTCTGTCAATAAATAAAATATTTTAAAAAAGAACAAAAAAGTGTGAGGTTTCCCATAGAAGAGGATATTTTGCCTCTGGATTTCACGGCTATATAAAAACTGTGCCTGAGTCAGCAGCTTCCCAGGTGGCTCTGCAGAGTTCAGATTCAAGACAGAAACATCAGCTCTTAACTTCGTTTCAAATCACTTGGCCAATCCCACGGATTTCAGACTTGGCAGCCCCTACAATCACGGGAGTCTGCTCCTGAAACTCCATCTCTTTGCTCTCCTTGTCTGGAGCGTGGTGTGTACTGTACCCAGGGTGTTCCCTCCCCATCCCTGCACTCGGCATCCTTGAGTTGGCACACCTGCCATGTGCTGACACTTTTCTGTGCAGACAGTGAGATCTGAACTCTGTGGCTTTGGGTTCTAGCAGGAGACAGGCAAGCAGGACACATGCTCACAGGAGAGACAGAGGAGGAGGGTCTGGGGAAGGTTCCTCTCTACATGTACATGGCATGCTACTGGCCTGAGTTGGAGGAGTGCGGGTAGGCTGTTAACTCTCCTACATTACACAGAGCAGCCCACCACAGAGAATGATCTGGCTCCCCGATGTCAACGGTGCCAAGGCAGAAAACCCTATTCTGGGGTCAAATGACTCTAGGATACCAGCAATTTCTAAGCCCCCAAAAGGGCAAGGAGCAGACCCCAGAGGCTGGTGTTTAGGCAGACCCCAAGCCTCTGTCTGGGGTGCAAAATCCAGATTTTGCACCCCAGAAAGTAAGTTACTCAGCTCTTCTAAAATTATCGCCATGGGCTGAGCTGGCCTTTGGAACGACTATATCCCCAAACAGAACATGCTCTCAAATGTGCATTTAATGAATCCCCTGACATCTTTGCAAAAATACTAGAGAAGTGGTTCCCATACTGAGCTCGGACAATGCCACTGGCGGACTTGCCAAGTCACTCAACCCCAACTTCAAAGCCCAAATAACCAGCTTGATACCCGGAATCAACAGCATTGCACGTGGCCTCAAGAAATGCAAGCAAAACCTGCTCCATATTATTAGTTTGGGAAGCAGGATGTTGGGTGAAGTGACCTCCATTCACAAGGCAAACTGCACAGCTGGGGGACTAAATACATTCTTCACTGATGGTCTTTCCCCACTAGTACGTGTCCCTCATCACTGGACACTCTGTGGCTCCCATCCAGAAACGTGGATCCCATCCAGAGCACGCTCTCCGTGCTACGTTCAGAGAATTTCCGGAGCCTGATTTCACTAGCTCAACTGATAACCAGTGTGTAGACACAGCTGGTCACTCCAGTGAGAACGCACAGAAAAAAGCAAGCGCTAGAAGAATATCGTAATATGGTCCACGTGCTCTGGGAGGTCTACTCTTGGCAAGTCACTAAGTAGTTGTTACAGCTGAATTATATCCCCTCCCCACAAATTCACATGTTGAAGCCCTAACTCCAGGACCTCAGAATGGGACCGTATTTGGATATGGGGTCTTTAAAGAGGGGATTACGGTATAATGAGGTCAGTAGGGTACATCATGATCCCACAGAACTCTCCCTCTGCCTCTTCCCGTGCTTGTGCTGTCTCTCTCTCAAATGAAAAAAATAAAATCTTAAAATCTTCTTAAAGAAAAAAAGAAAAAGAAGAGGGGATGACAAAACACGCACAGAGGGACGACCATGTAGGGACACAACGAGAACACAGGGTCTACACACCCAGGAGAGAGGCGTCAGGGGGAATCAGCCTCAGTCCAGCCTGGATCTCATACTCCCAGCCTCCAGGACTATGGGAAATAAATGTGTGTTGCTTAGGCCCCCTACTCCACGGTATTGAGTTATGGCACCCCCAATGGACAAACTCCTTTTCCATAATTTTTAGATAACGGTCACCTGGAAATGTATATCATTTCATATCACTTTACATCTTCAAAGGATCTGTTGTTGATAATAACTTCTCCAGAATCTGAGCATTTCAAGACAGCAGACACAACAACGTGCCTTGTTTTGTGCACTATCTCAGTACTGTGGGGGAGATAGAAGCCAAAAATGGACCAGAACTGGTAGACAGATTTTTAAATGAGGTCCTACCACATTTTGCCAAAACCTGTGAGGATAACCCCTCTGAGAAGACTATCAGATTGTTCCTCAAATTCCATGTTGATTTAATGATGAGGAGACATTCCTACTCCTCAACCACACCCTTCACTGAACTTGACATATGAGAAGACGACATTCGACTGTGACCTGCACTTCAGTTTTCGAATCACAAAGCCCATCCAGAGTCCATCATGTGTCAACACATGGTCGTTGTGTCTTCTCAACCATGAAGTGGTTGGCTTGAGACTCCCCGCCTTGGAAGGAACCCAAGACACGTGATGGCAATCTGGCAATATCATAACGGAGTCCAGGTCTCCCATAGAAGATACTTAAAACCCTAGTGAGCTAATGATCCTCCCTAGAATCACTACTTTAATTCCTCCAAGAGACACAACTAGATGCTTTCCTTAATTCCAGAGGAAGATCTAACACACTCCTTTTCCTAATGGCTGTTACACCGTGGACCGGATGGGAGAATTCACACGTGGTGAGCGAGCAATGCTGAGTCCCCGAATCACTGGCTATTTCTGTTTCCAGGACTTGAAACCCTGAGACGCACCTGACCCTTCTTTATCGGGACAAGATCACCCGCAGCTCCATAAAAGGAAAGTAAAACCAAAAAAAAATTTCAGCCTATTCATTTCTCCTCCTCATTAAATATGCAACAGAGTTGGGACTCTGGGCAACACACTGCTTTGGGCTTAGAGGATTGGGGGCTGGGGCAGCTGTGCATTTACAGCCGTCCTTCTCAGGGTCTGCGTGCCCAGGAGAGGTTCCAGAGCTGTGACCGAGGGCTGTCTCTGTGTGAGGACAGGCGTATCAGAGAAGACAGAAAGGGGTTGGTCCAATGGGAGGGATGCTTGGTGCGGAGACACACAGAAAGGAGGCACTGCCGGGGAGGGGTGGCCCCCCAGAGACAGGGAACGACCACAAGGAGGGCACCGGCCCCCTTCTACTGCAGGTGGCTTTCCGAGATGGGACGACAGGTAGCAGGGTGGAGGGAAAGAGATAGCAAGCAGAAGGTAAACCCAGAGGTCAGTCCACGATAAGCCCTTGGTGGCTGAGGTCAGATTCCAGGGTCACTATTCCCCGTGGATCTGTACATACCAACGAAGGTCACCATACAGGCATCTGGGGAGGGTCACCATGGCTGGAAGATGAAGAATGCCTTGGAAGGAAGGAAAGAAGGAAGGAAGGATGCTAGGGCAACACCAGGTTGGGAATGAAAAGGGACAAGAAGACAATGGCAGAGGGGAGACATGGACCCCGGTTGGAAGGCACCCACACCGTGGATGGGGAAAGAGAGCCCTATCTGTGCCTCCCATCTCTGGCACCTGGGTGCAGAATGGTCTTATCCTGTACTAGGAAACAGTGTCGGAGGACTGGGACTTATTTGTTCAGTGAGGGGTACCCTCAACTGGACACATCTGTGGTGCATCTAAATGGAGATACAGTCGTCCTCGAGAAACCCAAGGAGTGGCCTGCATGAATGAGGCTGAACTGGTGATGGTGACCCAGAAGGGGATGAGGGGAATGGAGTGTCTGGTGGGACCACCCACACTCCTACTGCTCACCCGGGATGGGAGCAAGGCCGAGGCAGAGCCAGCTGTGACCTCACTCCGTGCACCCACCCCCGGCCTGGCATCTCAGAGAGGGTGAGGACCCAGAGAAGGCAGTGGGGAGGGACTCACAGCTTGACCAGGAAGGGGTGGCTGACTTCCTTCAGCACCGACTTTTCGTTGTGTACATGTTGCTCCTGCTTTAGGCGGATGACGTCCGGGATGCTCATGACCTTCAGAGCAAAGAAATGCTTGGCCGTCTTGTCCTTGACCAGCTGCACCCGTCCAAATGTCCCGGTGCCTGGAGGGGAAGACAACACACCAGGCTGCATCAGGACCTTAAGAGAATCCATCAGCTTCTACAGCTCCCAACCGTGGTATATGGCGGGTGAGAGTATTTCCAAGAAGCTCCATTCTGGAGCTTTCAGGTGAGGGCATGTACGACACACACGTTGACAAAGATATATCAAAGGCAGGTTGACAAAGACCTGCCTCGGAAATGTTCTTGAATTAGAGGGACAGCCGGCCATCCCCTCTACATATGGGCCACTGTGGAGACTACGCGCATACGCACACACTCATACAGGACAGTTGGGATGCAGAAGTGTGGTAAAGACGTGTTGTGGCATTTCTCTTTGGGATTTCTAGATAAAGGCAAAGGTATCAGGCACGCGACGCTCATGAAGAAGGTTCTTGAACACGTTAATTAATGCCTGCTCAAAGCATTTGGTCTTTATTTTAGAATTTGCTAAGGACTGGAAAATGGAATAGATACCAACATGATATGGGAAAAGATGGCTACTTGGATAGGATATAAAGGGAGAGAGGGCTGAGATTGGGGTGAAATTTTAAAATACAACTATGCGAGGAAATCCAACACTCTTTTGTATCCTGGTGGGACATTTCCAACCCAAATGCACCTTCTTTCTCCACCATCAGGTTGTCCTGTTCCTCTGAGCCTCAGTGTGGGGCATGGTGTCCAACTGTCATACTGGTGGGCAACCACTTAATGCAAACATGAGATCAAAGATCCAAAGGAATTCTTTCTGTGACTAGAGCAAAGGTAAAGTAGAGGGGCAGAAAAATGGAAATTGGTACGTGTGAGCGTCGGGATCCCGGGTGCCCAGTGAGCTTATTCATGTTGGCTGGGTTCTCCATCACCGTGTGTCTAAGCAACGAGGCACGGGAAGGGGTCTTCCCGGGGGAAGAAAGCATGGGAAACAGTGAACAGGATGGATCTCTGGGTAGAAAAATGGCAATTAACCTAAGAGGGAGAAAGGAACCAGGAAGATCTGTGGGGAAGACAAAGGACGCTCTCCTCCCTCCCAACACAACCACATGGCGGAGGACATCCTTTCCTCTTGCACAGGGTTTGGACCTACATACGGTAACATGAGCAAGAGCATGGAGTCACACTCAAGCAAAAACATTTTGTTTTAGCGTTTTCTATAAATGAGAATTGCCGGGCTGTGAAATAAATCTCGCCTCCTTGGTGGCGGGGAGGGGCGGGGCCCATGATGAGTAACCTTGGCTTTTAGGCAAAGTTTCCGATCATGAATATTTTACCCTAGGAGGAGCAGAGAGGGAGCGGTGAAAACCCAGGAAAGCAAGTGTTGTGAAAGAAGCAGCAAATGATGAGGCGTGTGCTCCCTGGAAGGTCACTGGGAAGTGAACACAGAACTGAAACAGGGTATGGCAGTCGAGTGGGGTGAGATGCTGGGGAATCGAGTCCCACATGGGAGGTGGGGTGGGGCGGGCTATGGTGGGGGAGGCTATGAAGAGGATGCAGCAGCAAAGCTTAGGGGTCTTTAGGCAGACACGGAGGTTTCCGTTGGGCTAGGTGCACACAGTTGGGGACACCAGCACCTGCTGAAAGGTTTGCCCTTTATTTGATCTGCGAACTGGGGCAAACACATGAATCCTTGGGCTGCTACGGTCCCTCTCTCCAACAGGACAAAGCATAGCGCAACCTGTAAGTCCTGCCATGTTGTCACATTTTTGTGGTAGAAAGAAGGCCATGTGGCTTCCCCCTCCTTTCTCTCTCCTGTACCATTCCTCCTGATCACCTTTCTCCACCACCCCCGGGGAAGGAGCCCCTTCATCACTGGGTTGCATTTACTAGATCATATTTTGCATTTTCAGCCCTAGTGTCTGACCTGCATCTGGACGTTCCCTGTGCCTACGTGAAAGACAACACCAACTATGACTCAGATTTTTCCACAGCAACGTGGAAACAACAATGCTGTAGGCAACGTCTTTCGAGCTCTGTCTGAGCAGGGTCAGTTGAAAGCACACAGAACTCCAAACGGGTTACTAATGCACTCAGGCAGCCGGAGCCTGAGCTACTCTGGGGGATGCGGGAGTCCCTGGACGCCACCATCAGGTGACCGGACCACACAGGACAGGAGTCTCGTTCAAGGTGGATGAAACTAGCACTCTACAATTTTCAACTCGGCCAGCTTAAATGCACAGAACACAAGACAACATTAATGATGTTGGTTGTAAGGCATAAAGGTGGTGGAAAGAAAATGGGCAGAGATTTCCCCACTTGGTGTTGGGAGCCTCACCAGTATACACCCCCAGGTCTCAATAACTCCCTTCAGAAAGTAGAAAAGTCCATTTTTTTTTAGCTTTGTTGCAGGTAAGGATGGCCACAGGATCTGCCTCTGCCCAGTAAGATACACAATGGAATAGCAGTCAGCCATTAGGAAGAAAGAAAGAAAGGTAGGTAGGTTGGTTCCTGCCATTTGCAATAACATAGACAGACCTTGAGGATGCTATGCTGAGTGAAATAAGTCAAAGGCAAAGAGAGAATGATCTCACTTATATGTGGATTATAAAAAGGAAAAAAAAAAACCTCATAGAAAAGTGTTCAGACTTGGGGTTACTGGAGGTGGGGTACGGGAGTACAGACATTGGATAAAGATGGTCAAAAGGTGCAAAGTTCCAGTTGTAAGATAACTAAGTCCCGGGACATTACCATACAGCCTGATGACCACAGTTAACACTGCTATATGGTATATGTCAACTCTGCTAAGAGAGTAACCTAGAAGTCCTCACAACTAGAAAAAGAACTTTTTTTAACTACATGAGGAGATGGATGTCAACTACATTGAGGTAATCATTTCAAAAATACATATCTGTCTACTCATTATGCTGTACACCTTATACTCACACAGTGCTGTCGATAATATCTCAATAAAACAGGAAAGAAAAAGTCTTTATGCCCAACAGGCTTTAAATAAAATAACACATGCAAAGCCCATCATACGGCATCTCAGTGGAGGTAATAAATGAATTTTCCATCCCCATAAAATGAAGTCAGCTTCATAAATGTTCTATGTGATGGTGGTTACGTAGCTCTATGCATTTGTCAACAAGTCATCAATGGAGACACTTAAAATGCCTGAATTTTGTTCTGTGTATATTATATCAAGAACATTAACCGTCCCTCCCACCAAAAAAATTTAGGGTGAGATAGTTTTGGTTTTTTTTTTTTTTTTTTAAGAAAGCTCCATTAAACATAACTGTCATTTGTTTCTACTCCTTATTCTTTGGGGTAGTAGACGCAGACATCTATCAACCATTGACTGAATGACAGAACATACCCTATGGGAAAAGGATCCTAGACCAGACTATGGGGATTAGAGACAAATGTACTGCTACAGGGCGAAAGAGAGAAGGGCTGATATTCCCACTCCCACGTTATCATTGTTCCAAAGTCAGCCACGTGCAAAACCTATATCTGAAGAAGTTTCCACAAACATGCAGCGGAAGAAATGTCATCTGAAAAGAGATGCTATGGGGTTGCCCACCTTCTGAGGTAGATTCTCTATACCACGTCTGTAATACTGGGGAATGGAAGTCCACCTGGGATCTCAAGTCACCAAAGATCACCCATGGCACTGGGAGGACCAAGTAGAACTATGAAGGGCCAACAAGAACTAGAAATGCCCAGGGTGTGAGAAACGCTCTTACTTAGAGAATCACGGGAAAATCGTTACTGTAAGTTTAGCTGTGATAAAAAATGCTCCAGTCAACACACCAAGTTCCAAAGTACCAGAGACCGCCATTTTGGGGGGGGGTCCATGTTGGGATTGGGCTGTAACTTGTGGCAGTAGGCTCATGTTTTCCATACATGTGTGATTAATCCCTGGGCATATGTTAGTTGGTAAATGTGTGGATGACTGAATTCATGGATACGCCAATGGATGAATCCATTTAATGGAAGGAGCAGCAGAATATCTCTTGCCTAAACCAACGGAGGTCCTTTTGCAAATGTGGGCAACGTCAGAGGAACCCACACAGACTGAGAAGGAGAGAGGAAGAGGTTAGACCCCAGGGTGGCACCTCAATCCTATGTTCCTGTATGGCATAAACACCTTTGGCCCTAAATACCTCAGATTTCACAGAGAATGCACCATACAGCATTTAAAGCATCTCCATATATTTGTAAAAAGGAAAAAAAAAATATCTCCACTGTAATCCAAGTAAGGTCCAGACGGGTGTTAATGGGATCAAGAGAAGCCAGTCCCTAGTTTCAAGGACACCCTTTGATTATGGAAGATATTATCTCTGGGGGTGAGGGCACACGGAGACTCTCCTGTCTATTCTTTTACAACATTTTGTGAGTCTTAAATTATGAATAGTCACGTATTTCACTTAAACAGTTTTAGAAAAAGTCATCTCGATCATTATACCCTAGATGGGAATCCTATGTTATCATCTTCAAAAAGCCCTATTACATGGCACCAGGGTGGCTCAGTCCATTGAGCACCCAACTTTTGGTTTCAGCTCAAGTCTTGATCTCAGGGTGGTGAGGTCTCACCCCACATCAGGCTCTGGGCTTAGCACGCAGTCTGCTTAGGATTCTCTCTCTGTCTCCCTCTGCCCTTCTCCCCACTCATGCACACTATCTAAAAATGAATAAATTGAATCTTAAAAAAAAAAAAAGGAAAGGAAGAAACCCTATCACCTAAGGCCACAGATGCAGGATCTGACTACAGATATTTTGCAAAAGGAATCCGTAAAGTCTCTTGCTCCAAGAACATCTGTTCAGTCTGATTAGCTGGAAGTGCGGTGACTGTCAGAGGTGACTGGAGCAGGTCACCTGCCGCCTTCTCTCTTATCTGAGTGTACCTTCCTTTGCTACCATAAAAACAAAGAAACAAAAAAATTAGGAGGGACAACATCCCGAGCCAGCTGCTAAGAATCTTTCCCTCCTGGATAGTTCCTTTTACGTTACTTTAATTTTTTTTTAACTTTTAATTTACTTTTTTTATTTTTCCACCACACATTTAG